GCTTGATTATTCTGGGAGTGTTCTAGTCCTGCCCATCCCCATGGGCCCCGCGCCAATCTGTGCCAACAGCTGGGGTTCATTTCCCCGCGAATGAACTTGGGGATTTCTGCAAAGGCCGTCCTGAGAAGCCCAGAGCCAGGTGAGCTGCTGGAATCTGGGCTTTCGTTATGCCTTTAAAACACCAGGCCAAGGTCCAAATGTTCACACAAACTTTTCATCCAAACCGACTTGGGGATTCTGGGGAATCATTCTAAACTTGGCCATTTGAAAGCAGAGCCAGGAAGCAAGAAAATAGGAAAGCCCAGGTAAAAGAAAAATCACAACAGGACAAAAGCGTGTCCTACGGAATCCCAAGTGGAATACAGGCTTCTGTCTCAGAGCAAGCAAGGTCTTGCAGTTTCAGGGACTGTTAGTTGCATACTGAAACAAACAACAGTGGCAATATTAATTACTACGTTTTATGTCTTAACATTTTGCCTTAAAAGTTCCTGGCAGTCATAAGGATGCCAGAGATGACAACTTCCTCAGGGAAATGGGGGAGTCGTATTTTGAGCAGCCACCTTCATGATCCTAATTTAGAGGAATCAAATCTGGCCTCATGTGATTTTAAGTGATTCTTCTTGTCCAGGCACTGAGCTAGATACTGGAAACAAGAACAACCACCTCATTCTAAGTCTTTATCTTTTATCAAAATACTTACTATTTATAAGTCTATGTAAATCATTCAATACAAATATGATGATAACTAGGAATACACCAACCCTGTTCTCTAATTATAAAATTGCATTCTGAGAACATAAAATAAATGTCAGATGCGGCTCCTACACTACACCCTGCTGCCTTTTTCTGCTCAGAAATGAGCAAAAGGTTGAATATGATATAGTGGCTCTCAACCAAGGGTGATTTTTGCCTAGGCTCAGAGGACACTTGGCAATGTCTAAAGATAGCTTTGACCACAAGTGTGGATAGGGGGCTACCGAAGGATGCTGCTACCCATCAACAATGTATGGGATCTGACAAGCCCATCCACTCCAAATATAATTGTCTGGCACTGAGTGTCGATAGTACCATGGTTTGGAAACCATGATCTGGAAGTTTCTGTGGCAGCCACGCTTAGTCCTTATGATCCGCTGTCAAGAAAGTCCAGTGTCTTGACATTGGAGATTTCTATATATTTGCAAATTTCCAGAGCGTTTTCCAGGGATGGGATAAAAGAAAAAGACACCACAATTATTTTTTTTTAAAAAAGAAAACAATGTTTATTAGGATATTCTAGGGTGAAAGGATGGCCAAAGGGACTATGTACATTCTGTAGTGCTTGAGCAATAGGCTAACAGAAAATTCGAACATCACAAAACCACTTCCAAAGTCCAAACTGCAAAACTTATAATTCTATAGGAGACGTTCTTCCATGGGTGTTGGCAATAAAGCCTGTTGCAAAACAGCTGTGTGAGGAAGCCGTGTGGGAGTGACCCCAGGAGAATGTCCCGGTGTCCTCTGGAAAGCAGATACACAGAACAATGAGACAAATGTGTCATCTTCTACCAGTGGGAAGCTTGGTAAACACACAATAGAACATGGAGACTCGCCCGAAGCCTAAATGGAGGCTTCTCAACAAAGCTCAGTGTACCCCTCAGCCACGTTCTGAGGAGACTGGGTGTCTGAACCCCTCACTCAGAAGGAATTCTAAAAATACCTTCTATTCCACCGTACTATAAACCTGCATGAAACAGAGCAAACATAAGCTGAAACATACCCTTGGGTTAAGAGTGAAAAATGCAACACCATCCAAAAGAGTACAAGAAAAAAATCCCACAACCTAAATCTCTCACAGCTTCTCAGCAGGAGTTGGATTAAACTGAGAAAATAATTTCAATATCAAGGGATAATGCACACGAGATGGGAAAACTCTTTAAAGCAAACTGCAGTGAACAGTGATTCCCCCACTCCCTTAGCGAGGGAAGGGAAAAGATAGATAATGAGGAGAACTGTAAGGCCCTGGATTCAGGTTTCCTAAACTGTTTTTTCAACCCTTGGAGGACAATCAGCTCTTTCTGAATCCAGAAAAGCACATCAGAAATGTCTGATGAGAGCAAGACCACAGCCAAACACGGCAGGGCAAACTGATTTGGTTCTGTGGTTTCCATTCTCTTTTTCCACATTTGAGAAAATGCCTTCAGCTACAGCTAAAAAATAAAAACCCTAATTCCAGATCACGCATGCTTGGCGCACCAAGAAGATAATGCTGGAGCATACAGCCCTTCAATCATTGTGACAGAGAGAGAGAATGAATGAGAATGAGAGACCACGCTTTATGTGCCAGCGAACTGAGAAGGCCAGGGTACCTTCACCTGCACTGCCACTGTCACCAGTCTGCCCCCAAGTAATCAACCTTTACTGATTTTTCAGCAGCCCTTGTTCCCTATACTCAGGACACCCACTGGATTTTCTAATTCTTCTTCCTACTTCACTCTAGTCTTAGGATCTGTGTTATGCTTGTAGGCGTCAGGGGTCATCGTGCACATTCGCAGTTTTGCTCCTTTGAGCACTGCTGACTGTTTGCTTTCTTCAGCTAAAGTAGCTCTGGTATCCCTTATTCCCACCTGCACCATGGCCGGTACCTGACAGTTGTGACTGCCTTACCTCTGTGTCTACCAGGCCACGCTCATGGCCTCTGAGGCCCAGAGGAGTGGCAGCCTAAGTGCTCAGAGGTGGCCTTTCGGGCTCAGGATGAAGGTGGGTGTTTACCTTCTCTATCATGGAAGAGCTGGATTTGCCATTGTGTGCACATGGCCCAGGACTTAACTCCTGGGAGACTGAGTCTGAGACAGTTTCCTGAACGATTTATAAGTAGAATACAGCATCTCTGAAGGACATGAAATGGAAGGATTCTGCCAGTCTGGAAGGAATGGGTGTTTCCCTAAGCTGCTGTCAGAGGACCCTGTGTTCTCAAGTTCAGCTCCAAATGCTAGTTCCTTCCATCAGAGTCCTCACTCAATAAACGTGCTGACTTGATAAGCATTTGACTTTGCTTCTCAGGATACTGATGGAGAAGTTGTCAACCCTGGGATTCATCTGGGATCGGGGGAGTGGTCTACCTTTCTTGTCAGCATCCTGTGCTTGAAGCAGATTAAAATCTCAGAGGACTAACTGGCTAATTTCCCACAAAGTCTACCACCATTTTGGGCTCTGTCCTTTCTGGCAGATATGGTGAGCCTGCTGGGACAGGTGCTAGTCTGTGTTTCTCAGCAGGAAACACAGTGGGAAGATTCAAAGTCACTTGGATCCCAATGCTTTCTCAGACCCTTTCTTCCAGGTCACCCTCAAAAATCTCAGGAGGACATGTTCAGTGTCAGTACAGCCCAATGCCAGGAATATGCCAATAGGCCAGTTCTTGCTACTGTCTGACAGAATAAAGCCCTTAAATGACAGGGTCATTCAGCCAGTTTCTGAGTACCTACAACGGGTCATGCTTTCTGCTGAAGAAGCCTGGTTATGAGCAGCAAGAGGTATCCAAACTAAGGAAGAGGCTAAAGATCTCAGGCCAGTCTCCTGGCGCCTTACAAAACAAAATTGGGGATTGGTAAGAAAGCCCAGCATGAGATGAAAAGAAGAAAAATCGGAGAAAACCTTGTATTGATGCTGGTGCTGGGCTTGGCAGCTGCCCTGGAGCAAAAATTAACTCCCCATGGCAGTGGGACAAGAGGCTGATATTGGCACCTGCCAGAGGCAGACAGCCGAAGTCACAGCTGCGCTGGTCAAATGAGCTTGGAGACCTTAGGGGGCTGAGACCTCAACGACTATTAGCAGGCTGTGGTTCTCTGCAGGCAGTTTATTGGAATAGGGTTTGTGTGCCTTCTCCACCCCTCTGGGCTGGGTCTCAGAACAGTCAGAAGTGCAGGTGGCACATTCTGCTGAAAACCATCCCTGCATTGTCTCTGGGAGGGAGGAGAAGCTCATCAGAGACACTGGGAGCAACAGAGGGATGCCTGGCAAGGATAAGACCATCCCCGATCCCAAAGCTAAGAAGAGGGAGCTCAGAGGAGAGTTAGCTAGAGGAGCTTCTTATTTGGGGATTAGCATCATCTTCGGATCTCCTGGCTCTTGAGAGAGGCTTCTCTGTCTGAAAAGATATCTGTTGGAACAAAAATTAATTTGGGTTGAACTAAACTTAGAGTGATTAGGATGAAGAATCGGGAGGCGCAATACTTAGGCAATAAAGAACAAGGTGATGGAGGGAGGCCTGAATAATCACAATGAAAGAGAAGGGAATCAGCCAATGTCCTGATACAAATGAAATGTCCTACAGAATACATCCCAGGACAGAGGGAGTGGCAAAATCCCACGGATTTAAGGCCTCGGCAGTGAAAATCTTTTTCAGAGGTCCAGCCCCCACAAAGAATTCTAGACAACAGAGTTAAAACAAATGGTCACTGGAGAAGCAGAGCTGTGTCAAAGTCAAAAGCTGTCAGATACACACTTGAGATATCTATCTTAGGGATGAGATAAAAGTGTAGTTTAGGGGTACCCGACCAAATACCCACTTGTTTTATTTTAGAATTTCTAATAAGAAATTTCTTCCTCTGTCATTCAGATATTATTAATAGCTCTAGCTTCCAGTCGCCAAAGAACTTCTGTCTGATTCAAGAAACTCTGGTTGTTTTGTTAGAAGATTCCTATTCTGATCAGTAAGGAAAATTAGTGGACTCTCTGATCCATTCACCCTTGGAACGTAGCCCACTGTTGCATCTTGATTTTGCCTTATCTCTTCAACCCTCCAAGTTCAGATGGGACTGTCACTGTGCCCAGGCCAGTGGTAATTCACTCCTGCCTGTTGCCGTCATTTTTAGGTCATTCTTGAAAAGATGGGTCTCACATGGTCTCATTTGCTTTATCAAAGAGCAGAGGCAAGAGTAACACAGACCACTGGGGTATGAATCCAGGAGATCATCAACAGCCTTGAAAGAGAATTAGAACATGTGAATTCATTCAAGCAGCCCTTTTCTGGTCCACAATTTATTGATTCAAATACATCGTGCATGTCTAACTACATGAATGAAAACTTATTTTCCAAAAGACAGCTCCTCTAAGGCCACAGCTTTGTAAATAATAACAACAAAAATACATTTATGCTGGATTCTGAGAAAAGAATTTGCTAATTATATAAACTCCCACTGCTCTTCCATCTCTTTTCCCAGGCATTTTACAGGGACTCCAAAATGCTTCGGCTCTCCCACTCTCCTGGTACAGCAGATGGAGTGCTTGGGAATGTCTGATTTAGAGACAAGAAGGCAAGAGGGAGATGGGCAGCAGCTGGAAGCAGCCCATCCTCAGAGTGTATGTAAGATAGGAACCATCTGAATACAGATGAAATCAAAGTCTGGGGCATCTCTGGTGGTGCCCTGTCTTGTGTTTGAGGAACCTGAAGACACAACTTCTCAAATTCTTACTACAGCATAAAAGTGTGTTAAAAAAATGAAACAGAAACCACATTCCTATCACATTCTAGATTGTTTGCTATACTTCATGAAAAATAACCTATGTTAATCTCAACTTACACTTTTTTAAAATTAGAGACTTGAAAAAAATCAGGTATGGAAAAATAAATATGTAATTGGCATTCTCAATTCCTTCTCTATATTGTGCACTTCTTTCTTCATGTGCTCTATTAAAAAGATACTCAAACATATCGGTCAAAGATATTCAACATCAAAGTGGAATGAATGTGCTTCTAATTAGTGTGGCAATACTGCGTTTTTAGCCCCTCTCTTTCTCTCTGAAATAAGTAGGGCATGGCTTGACCTCATCAGCGAGTCATGGTCTGCATGGACCTTGGTTACTGTTTTGTGTCATCAAAATCAACTGCAATGAGATACTTCCTACCAGACACCCAAACCTCAGCAGATAACCCCTGTATTCAGTGGCACTCCAAATTCTCAGACTGAAGGACAGGAAGTCATGAATCATTTTTGCTTTTAAGCATGCCAAGAAGAAGTGAGATAGGTAAATGATTTAAATCACTGCACTCCGGTTCTGGGACAAATTTTCAGGGTCACCGTGTCAAACCAAGATCACATTGAATGGCAGAAACCTTGCTTGGCTTGCTTTTATAAGAATCTCTCCAACATGTTGTCCCTGAACAAGATGCTTCCCCCTATTTATTGAATCAGCAACTCATTTTCAAATAGAGGATTTGGTAACTTGAATATGTTTTTATCACTGAAGAAAAATGTGATCTTTGTTGGTGACAGATGAGGCTTTTCAAAATTTAATTTATATGTTGCATACCCTTGCATTCTTCAATGAAGGGTGCCCTTGTTGGCACTGAAACGCCCATTTCCTCTTTGGTCATCTGAAGCTAATTAGACCTGCTGTTAATGCAGAAGTAATCAATAGTTTTCTACAGTGGATCACATAGAATCAGACCCATATGCAATTAGTCCAGTGTAGATATACAGAGATACCTTAATGAAAACAAAATATGCTCTGTAAGAGATATCCACTCATAGATAATATCCACTCATTCCAAATATTTTGACACATTTAATGTGTTTATTCAAAGTAAGAGTCTTATAGAACTTTTCACTAATCAAATACAGTTGGGTGTCTGCTGAAGTTACCTTGAAAACATTTTGAAGTGAAAAAAGTCAGTACTGAATACTGTAAATTTTTGTTGATTAACATTTGGATACAAATGTACTTTGAACACCAAAAGACTATGCCTTTATCTTGGATTTCATAGATTTCCCTTTCCCCTCAGTGATTTGATTAATCTTACAAGATAAACAACAGCAGGCAAAGGGGATCTATAGAAATGTGTACCCTGGTTTCCTCCTCCACCTCCTCTACCAATGTGGGAACAAAGCCAGTGCTCACCAGCACTTTATTAAGGTGGAATCTCCTCTTCTTTACTTAATGTTGGAGAAATGTGGCAACCAGTACTTAGTCATGGTAGATTTGGAATCTCACCATCTAAACCAGACTTCGAAAGTGCACTTGAGGGTCTACTTAGTTAATAAAGCGAATAATGGAAGATGGTATGCGGTTAGAAAAGCCAGATGCCCTATCACCAGGATCCTGTTCTGCTGACCTGTGCCAACCAACTCATCTCACCAAACCTAACGTCAACCCTCTTGAGCCACAAACCTTCCTTCTTTTCTAACACAGTCAGCTGCAGTCTGTCTCGGAGGACACAGAACAAGAGGCAAGCAGATCTTTGACCTTCAGACCAAACTGCTCTAAATGGTGGCCAAGACATCGCAGTCAGGCGTAAAGACAATCCTTAGGAAAAGAACTGTGCATCCTGGCATGGATGTGCTGCCAAAGAAAGGACAGCCTGCCCCTGCCCCCATGTCCCAATCAAAGCTGCCTTTGTCAGATAACATGAAAACCAATGTACTGGACTGTATCATGACAAGGGTGCCACGAGATGCTGCGGAACATTTATAAGCAGCCACCGGTTCCCTCACAGATATGCACGCTTGCACTTCAAGAAATGATAAAAGACAATGTGCTTGCCTGCTCTGTTTCCTCCTGCCTATCCACAGTCATGTGATGCGGAACTTTCTGCTAACGCACTAGGCTTCTCAGAGTCTGCTTTTGAAGAGCTGTGTTTGTAAAGTGAATATCAGAGCAAACACTACTTATGAGGGGAAACAAGCCCCATGTGTTTTGTATTAAACCATCAGTAAAAAATGAGACAGTATCATTACTTTCAAAATATAGAAAGCCAATAGTTGAAATTGTTTAGTAGTAAATTTTTTTTCTACATACAACCTCGTAAGTGTAAAGAGTATTAGAGTGACATTTCAGCTATATTGGACTCTCGTTAGGTTAAGGGCTTCTCACTCAGGTAAGGCTTAGGATTAGGAGAGTCTCATTCAGGGGCTGAGGTACTGACTCGGCACACTCATTCCCCACTCTATTTTGACTAAAAGACAGATACTATATTTGGATGTGACAGGTGTTTTTGTTGTTGTTGTTTTGTACAAGAGTGCAGAACTGTTTACAGTATGTAAACATTGGCGTGGAAAATGCTAGTACACATACAAAGATGAACAACAGTACCAGCTGTTTCCACAAAGTCCACTCTTGATAAGAATCTTCTTCGTGGCAAAAAAAAAAAGCTTGGCATCAATATCAGGCTGAAATTTATGTCATTAGAAATCAATGTCATTACATGAGATATAGGAGGTACCTTAGAAATATTAACTCCTTCTCTAGCTAGGAAAGGCCGGAAGTAAAACTGTTAAAATTATCTTCATCATCATTGTCATCATCATCAAAAACACAGCCCCAGTTTGCTTTACAGCCCAATTTACAAACTGTCCCTTTAAAATACAGCATATCCCAAAGCCTTCTGAGTTTGGACTGGAGCACTGTATCAGGTTTTTCACAGAAGCCCCGAAGGATCACAAGAAGCTTTCTTAAAAGAAAAAAAAAGTTCCAGTTGGATGGAACTGTTACTCAACTGAGCTCCTAAAACTGGAATTTCAGCTATACAAGAGAACAGGAAACAGATATCTTGGTTTTTGTCTTTTTACATGTCCACATTGGTTTTCTTTTAATGCAGCTATGATGTTTCTGCTAAAGATAAAGATAATAGGGTGGACAGAGCGGTTACCACCAGAATCAGCAGTGGGCTCAGACCACAGCTTGGAGGAACAGCCATTGATTTTGTGGTTATGTGGCTGGAAGCACCGAGACCTTCTTTGTCATAATTACCCTGTGAGAAAGAATGGTTTCATTATCATCCACTGCATGTCTTCATTCTACCACAGTATACTTTACACTCCCTCTCCCTCTGACTCCCCACTGGCTGACCCACTCACCAAAGCTGACCCAAGATTTTACCACCGAGACTTAAATTCACCGACTTGTAATTTTATGGGAAGAAAACATGAACCTAGGTGAAAACCAGATACTTTTGAGAAACTGGCCAGTGCTTACTATTTGCTCTTCCATTAGGGATTATTAAATGCATTCTGGGAGAAGATATCTGAGTTCAGGTACCCCTGCCATTCTTTACCCCTCCCCCAAGGGTTCCATGCTGCACAGCTAACTGTTAGCTTTGTGCAACATGGAGCTCTTCTCTTTCTGCCGCTGGCTGAAGAGGAATGCTCACTCTCTCTCCCTACCAGGGAAGGACGGCAGCAGAGTCATCTCAGGAAGCTTGCCCAATCAAGTGACAGTTTGTGTAGAGATAGGTCACAGACAGCATTCGAAACCGGCAGAGCAGCTTCTCCCTACATAAGCCAGTCCAATCCCAGATTTTATAGATGAGGAGCTGGAGAGAGCAAGAGCTTGCGCTTCTCATTGCTGGGAGAACCAAACCAGAACTCTGGCTTCTGGATTCCCAGCCAGCACAGCTGTCCTTCCCCAGGATAGATTCCTCCAACCCTGTCACCAGAACCTGCTTAATCCCCTAATGCCACCCCCCTTCACAAGGAACCAGGGCCCGCCATAGCAGAATTCTTGGTCTCCTCACCTGTAAATTGGGGAGAGTAATGTACCTGCTCTCATCTACCCATGGGGGGCTGTGGAGGTCAGAGGCACCACAGAGAGAGAACATCTGGTGAGCAGTGAAGATTTGCTATGTGTCATCTCTGTGCTGGATGTTTTTATATGACTGTGATCACAGAGAGGCTCAGGGCCCTGGGACACTTGTATTAATCCTGGGACAAAGATCCTGGGTCCCAGGCTTACTTCCAGCTTTGTGAACTGGAATTCAAACTCTTCACCTTGCTCAAAGGACAAATGGTCATGGAGGGTAGCTTAGATTTGTTGTGGACTAGATACCTTCTTGTCTTTGGATGCTTTATATGATACCCTGTCCCAGGGGCCCAAAGGCTATGTTTCTATAAATGCACAAAGCCTCCAAAAGAAACATACTTACATTGGAAATACAGAGGTGTGTATTGCCCGACACATTGGATTTCAGCTTCTGTGCCTGGAGAGACAAGGAAAAAAATGTTCAAATGTAATACAGAAGAGTAATTACTGATGATCCTAATCAGCTATCTAGGGCAATGCTCTCTGATAAATATGTGAGCCACAGCTGTGAGCTCCATATATAATTGAACATTTTCTAGTAGCCATGTAATAAAGAGATATCAGGTGAAGTTAATTTCAATAATATATTTTATTTAACCCAATATATTATCATTTCAAAATGTACTCAATATTAATAAGATACATTACATTTTTTTTGTCCATACTAAGTCTTCAAAATCTGGTGTGTTTGGCATGGCACATCTCAATTCAGACTTGCCCCATTTCAAAGCCTAGTGGCTACTGAAGGAGCAGTTCAGGACTAGGTTACTTAAAAAAAATGTTTTGAAGTAATCCCTTATTTCTTAAATTTTTGGGAAGTACCCCCATCTAGGTAAAGATATTGCAATAAGCATCTGCATTTATGGGTAATACAGACAAAGGCCTTCCTGGGCTTCCTTGCTCGTTCATTATTTGTTGCTCCAGTCAACAAACCCTACTGTTTACCAGTGCTGGATATATGGTAATGAACAAAAAAGGACCTGGTCCCTGGGTTCACGGGCTCCTCTCTAGTGAGGAAAACACTTGCCAGTCACTGTTAGGGGGATAAGGCACAGGGCAGGGATGGGTATCCTCAAAGAATCACGCAGAGCATTACAGGTTTCTCAATCCAGCCATTTAAAAATGGATTCCCAAGCAGTTGCAAGGGGACTGGGCTGTGAAGGCATTGAGCTGCCTGTTTCTCCTCAACTGGAACAATCCTCCACTGGGCTTCTACCTGATAATTTCATTATAGGAAAGGTCTCATTGCTCAAATAATTACAGTGAAAACGCTTGTGAAAACTACTGTTACAACCCACTCATTTTACAAAGGAAAACAGAGCTCAGAGAAGTTAAGTGACTAATCCAAGGTCATACAGCAATTTACTTAGAGTCAGGATGCAGACCCAGTCTCTTCAATTCCTAAATGAAAATCTGCTATCTCTTGCATCACAGTGTTTCTCCCCAAAATCCACAAAAAGAACTCCCATGATGCTCCTTCCTCACCCCCAGCAATAGGAGCCCTTTGGCATCGACAGACAGAGCTCATTTGTCAACAGGCTGAGCCCCTGGTTAAGCGTTACACTTGAATAAAGGAGGACCTGGGCAACCAGCTCTGTGTTGATGGCACTGGCAGGCTGCCCGTTGTGGCTTTTGCAACTCCTGGAAGACATGCTAGGCTGAAAAGATAGCATGTTCACCCAAGGAGTAATTTATTGACCATAATGCTACTTGGGAGGCATCATAATCTTTACCTATATTTGCATATGCCAGCTGTGAATATGAAATAGAAACCTTTAAACAGGCATCAAGAATAAGACACTGTGAAGCATCCAGGGGCTGTTCAAAGGTCACTAAATGTTATGTATAAGAAGAGCAGAAGGGAAATTGGAAGAGGAATTGAACCTGATTCAAAAGCCTACTTTTAATCTATATTAATAGCAAATCTAGTCCACTGCATTGTCACCTACAGAGAGTAATGTGTAGTGCTTTACATGTTTTATTTCTGTTCCAGTTTGGAATTGTGCCCAGACACCAAAATGGCCCTAAAACATCACATTCTGCCTTTTCTAGGCCATAATCTACAAAAGACATAAACCCTTGCTAAGGGCCCTTGCATAACTAACAAATTTACTGAATTGCACAGAGAAGGCAGCATGATTTCTAGATTGGGACACATTATGCCCTCAAGTTCTTTCTGTGCTTGTGGTCACAGCTAAGCTGCACCTCCATGTCCTAGGCCTCAGTAGCTTCTAATAGTTCCAAGGGCTGGGAAGGCCTCCTTCCTACTTTGGTTGGTATGATTAGCACTAGCAGACAGTGTTGTATTCACTGTATATGCAATATGTGACACTCATTAGCTATACTGCAGGAGTATAATCCTACCATTATTAAATAATTAGAAAGGAGCTTTCATCAGTGGACTAGAAAAGGCCTCTATCTTAACAGGTTTTCTTAAGTGGACTCTATCTGCAGAGGCAGATTTCTGACCCTCATTAGTCACGGAGGGTTTCACACTATATACAGAATTTATAAGCTTTCGACCAAGAGACACGCATGGGTGTAAACTCCGAGGATCTTGTCTTCTATCTGGAAATAGCAGGCATAACTTCAATTACAGAGGAAAATGCATTTAGATCAGCTCCAAGTCTGTGAAGTCTCTAAGTGCTTATTCCCCCAAAGTGGGTATCCCAATGGCTCTATAAAGGAAATGGTCAGTTTCTGGTCTTGTCTCCGTGCAGTCCCATTGGCTAAAGGTGGAAGCAGCACCTCTCAAGCTCATCTTGCCTGGAGGACCATTCGGGTTGGCATAACTGGAGGAACTGCTGAGTCCAAGTAAGATTATGCAGCCAGATCCCTATGGGGGATGCCCTGAGAAAACAGCGTATCTCCCATTAAACATCTTCCCAACCCACAGAGGGAGGCGCTTAGCAGTCCACACACAGGCCTCTCAAGACTCTGCTTATACTGGGTATTAACAAGCTTGCTACAGAGCGGTCTGGGTGCTTGGGAAAGCCCTACAGAAGCAGAGGCTGAACAGAGAGGCTCTGGAGTTCCACCTAAACATGGCATGGGCCACTGTCAGGTCTTTGAGTCTGAATAGCAGAATCAAAGGATTCCATATGGGTTTGAGATCTATTTAAATCTCCCACCAAATGAGATGAGGGCCAGTGTGGCGGCTGTCTAGACTGGATGGAGTCAACAACAGACATCATCAGGCTGGGAGTCCAGTACTTCTCACAACGGGTGTGCCACAGAGAATGGGTCAGAGCCTGCGATGTAGACCTCTGAACGTCTGGCTAGTTGCATGCTTATGCATCCTGCATGCAGTGTGAACTTCTTGAATCTTCCAGAAATCTGCTTCCACAGATCCAGAGTCTACTTAAGAAAATCTGGGTCTTAAAACCCACTTTGGAAGCCTGAGAAACCTGTTACTTCCACATTTTAGAGGCTTTTATCCTGAGCATTTCTGAAAATATCATCAAGCTATCACTGTCTTACTAGTCAGGGATGATAAATGCAAATGGATAAAATTACAGGGTGTCCCCCGCTTTCAACGATCACAAAAAAAGTACTTACGCACTTTAAATGCTGTCGCAATTACTGAAAATTGGGACGTCCCAGGAAAATTAAAAGGAAAAAAAAAAAACAAAAAAACCTCCCGAGACTTTGTAAGGTATAAGGTAAATTAGAAACTGGAAGAGCACTTTTTTTTAATCCCTGAGTTGCCAAATGGTAAAACCAAGAGTGCAATGATAGAAGGGCTGGCACAGGGTTCAGGCCCTTCAGGGAGCCCTGCAACCCTGATGATGATGAGAAATGCAGATACCTGACACAGAGCTCAGCCAGCTGGTACCTATGCAGACATCATGACTTAGAGTTTGTGGTTTTAACACGATATGTCTTTTAAAAAGAGATTAAGAAGAGAAAATGCATTTCACTTTTCAAAAAATCAATTCGAACTATTCTTATGGTATGTTGAAAAATGAATTATTTAATCCTTTTTGTGAAAGGGTGTTTCTTAACATCTATTTTATAGTTACGAGGTTTAGGGGAAGCTGCCTGACTCTGAGCTGAGCGAAACATCACCACCGAAACCTAGTACTCTGAGGTTTTCATCTTGAGAATGGGAGGATGAAAACCATCCTAGAGAAGCCTATCCCCAAACCAAGCATCTTCTCTACTTTCTAGAAAAGCAGGTAAATCTGTTCTTTAGGCACATGAAGCCTTGCCTCTCCAGCAGCTGTTGCTCTCATATTATAAAAGCATCACTAGTGGTAATCCCCAAGTCCAGGCACGTTGCATAAATGAATTTCCAGGGCACTATAATTGTGGGGGGCTAGACTGTGCCAGTCCCTGGCACCAGAGGGTTAATAAATGCATTAGATGCTGTTAACCTCTGTTACCTGGAGTCAGAGTGGTGCCTCTCCTGCTTTTTACCCCAGTGATTAGCATTTGGAAAGCCTGCCATGGTGCCAGCAGCTTTCCTGTGCAGAATGCAGAGAGGCACACATCATTTATAGCTCTCAGCCCAGTCCCCACGTGGGTTCTGCCTGCAGTAGGCTCTCCCCAAGCTCTGGGGACAGGTCAGGTTTGTGAGCAGCATGCTCACTCTGATTATGGAACTGAAGACTTAAAAGCGCACTTGCCCGGAGCCTGGCCTTTGCTGCCCCAGGACTCCATTTCTGTAGAGAAGCCAATGTTTAATCTCCGGATTTTAGGTAGCTGTCAGCCAGCAGGGCATGGAACATTTCTCTGTTCTCCTCCACACATAAGAAAAGCCAGTTTCTGCTCTACCTCCAGAAAATCAAACCAGGGGAAGTTGTCCAATCCAATAGCAACAGACTGTCCGGTCTGCAGCCAAATAGTCATAATTAATGATGCTCTGGTTCTTTTCTTCCTTGCTTTACTGATTAGATAGATTTGCTATATTAGGAACCTGTTTGCTTAATGACAGAATACAAGCAATAAACAGAGAAATACACAGACTGTAAAATGCAATCAACTTTGCTCTCCAGCACTCACTAAGTACCTAGCTGCATTTATCACACTTGTCAATACTGGTTTATTAGCATACCAGTCTTTTCTGCAGCACAAACTGGACCTTCGCTAGGGAAAACCACTGTATGAGTTCTTCCCAAAACAGTCCAGAAGCAAAAGTCCGGAACTCAAAGCCATTTCTCAATTTAAATCTACATATTTTATGTTGCCTTGTAAGACAAGCCATGGGAAAGAGTGTGTGCCTGAGTGAGAAGGGTAACTGAGCAGAGGAACCTGCTTATACTTACTATATAACAATTCTGTTGTGTACTTGATATCGATTTGGCCAAATTAATTTCTGTATATAAAATGACAGAAAAAAAGAAGCTGCTTGCCAGTGAATCCAAGTTAAGTAATGGAGGCCCACCCAGTGGTCTG